AGGTGATCATTTTTAACATATTCCAACTAAATTTTCATACCAAAAAACAAATAGCACTGTAAGAGAAAAAGGGCATGAGTGCAAGAATAAAGATGCAGAATAGCATAGGCTTGATAGGCACTGACGAACAGCTTCATAAAACAGAAATCCCCTCATAGTGACCACCTGTGAGATCCAGTGAGTGAGTGAACTCACGTTTCATGAACTTGAGCATTTCAAGCAGGTTTCATATTAAGTATTAACGAAATAGAAAATATACAGTATGAGAAACAAAAGTATTAATTACATACTTTTTCTTGCGGAGGTTTATATGTTTGTTTTCCTTTCCTTTTCCACCTCAAGTATGCCTGTATCCGAACATGATCATCAGGAACAGAAAGATTTGACTGGTGGTCTTCTATGAGGCAACGAGAAATGCAAAGACACTCATGGAAGAAGAAAATACAATTGTAAAAATAGAATTACGTTAAGCAAGACTTAACAAATATAGGAATAGATGAACAAAAATCACATTTTGGAGAAAATGATACTGATTTGGAAAACTTCAATAGAATGAGAGATGAAATAGGAAATAGCGGGAGGCGGTCTATTATTCATTCAGAGAATAGTGCAGATGTGATCTATTTTCATTTAAAAAATGGATTGACCCGTGATTGTGTCGGTTTAAAAATAGGTGCTTAGTAAGAGATGAATGTGTTATGTCGAACACAAATAAACACCTGACTATGATAAACAGGAAATAAGAAAAGACTTGGTAAACCATTTGCCTCACAATTGGCAACCAAGAGAAATTCTGTATCTGTTTAGAATTTTCTGAAACAAGAAAACTAATAGGCATGACCTGCAATGACACAAAAAAAAAGACAAATCTAGCTATAAATACTCATGAAAGGAGCACATTTTGAACCTTAATCACTGGAATAACAAAGCAAAATCAGAGCCTCTTTGAATAGATGCCTCTTACCAATCTTTTTATCGACCCGATATGAAAAAAATGGCATAAAACAAGCATAAGTTACTGCATAATGAATGAAAATACATGCTAGAAAACATTTGAGATAAATCCTAATAGAACTCTGGGGGATTAGCACACAAAACGACTTGGGGGTGAGGGTCATAGCCTCATGTCCCCTCCAAAGTTTTTCTAGAGCTAAGTAAACCTTTATATTGAAACCTTGTTCTGCACCTGCATTAATGTATAAACAAAAATGTAGATAAAGAAGTCTCCCACACATTCTAGAGAGAGTAATTCAGTAGAGCAAAGAGAAACATTTACCGCACGAATAGGAGACCAAATTGAAACACCACTCTCATCTGCTTTCACCTATTTCAGCATCATAAAAATCAAAATTAAATGAAATTTAAGTAGTGAGACAATGTGTTATCAGTATAATAAAAAAAGTTGGTGCAAACCTAACTAAACTCAAGTATGAATGAGAAAATATTGGTGCGAACCTGAAGAAAACATACATGCGCTGAAGAAAACGCTGACCTGGAGCGGATAGAAGGGCAAGGTTTTTCCAAATTCACAAAGTATATCCCGATTCACCTGCTCTGAAGCGCTGAAGGAGATTGTTGCTGACCTAGTATGTCCCTAGGTCGTTTTTTTATAGAAACCAAAATCGAACGACAAAAATTACAAAATTCTATGTAAGGCTAATGGATTTCGGATAAAACTTAAATTAAATTAGATATTTTGCTTAAAGGATGACCTAGGGACGAAAGTTATACAAGATAATTTACATACCTGAAATCGACGACAATCGCTCATGAAGAAGACCTAGCGAGGACTGACCTGCGACTCCTACATCAGAGCCAAGAACTCCTGCAATCAATCGATCGAGGAGATGGAGAATCTCGCATTACAGCCTTAGTTTAAGCCGCACATTGAAGCCTAGTGTTAGTCTGAAACGGGGAGATGGAGAATCGTTCATCAATCAGTCAATGTAGGCCGGCCCATAAGTAAGTTACACGTGCGTTAAGTTCAAATATGCTCCGTAAAAAATGTTTGTGTCACTATGCAATGCTGGAGTATTTTTGTTAGAAACCAGTGACACATTTGTATTACTTATAGTATTATATCAGTACGTGTCACTACATAAGTGTCACTATAAGCCATATTTCTAGTATTGCTATTTACGTTGGATTTGATCTAGTTTGATATGTTTGAGTCAGATGTAGTATGGCTGAGACTGGAATTGAAATAAGTTTAACTAAAAGCGTCTTAATTTAATTTTAGAGATTTTTCCTTAAATATTACTGAAATATAATTTAGGGACAAAAATATTATTCCATACTACAGTTAATATGCATAGTTAATATGGTTATCATGATTACCAACGTTATTCTTGTAGTCACTAAGTCGTCATATTTTTGGAAATAATTACGTGAATAAGACCAAAATAAAGATGATTTACAAAAATATGAATAGTTACTAGAGTAGTAATGAAATCATAGTAATTCATGTTCAAGTTTTGAACTTAAGTTACTACAACACCACATTGTAGTAATGAATAGTCATATTTATGTAAATATGTTTTATTTGATAATATTCTTGTAAAAAACCCCATATTTTTGTCTATTACCTTCATTTTGGTTATATATTTGTCATTTCGATTGTGGAGGGGCGGGCGGGCGGGCGGGGGGTTCAGTGACCGAAATCGAATGATTATCCAACCTCCAATAAATAGATGCGTTATCCAAAAACTCAATTTGGAAAATCATTAACTATCCCAAACAAACACAGGCTAGATGCCTCAAATCTAAAACATTATAGTTGAGTAAAACTCGGAGTAATAATTAGGATAAGCTAATTTCACAAATCCTAGTCAGACAGAATCACTAATCCTTCGGGCCATAGCCATATTTTTATCTATATATATATATATATTAATAATGTATGCCTCAGATTACACAAATCCTAACAAATTCCTCCCTGCCCGTAGTTCGTTACGCACTTAAAATCACAATTAATTTCGCTCTCGATCTGAAACTTCCACTAATTGAAGATGAAATCCATCAAGGTTGAAGATGAATATCAAGCCACCTCTCACTATTGGTAATTTTCATCGTTAATAGAATTATATTTTACTATTATCTGCCTTCATATATTTATTTAATTCATTCATACTCATAATCCTATAGTTAAAATTATATATCGATTCTACATATTTAGCCCTTTATGAAAAGTAAATTTCGTTTCCTAGTTCATTGAATATTTGAATCATTGAATGTGTCCATTATTTGTAGTGAGTTTAATCTCGTGGATCAGTTTGTACTGATTCTATTCCTATGGATCAAACCGGAAATTCAATCACATAATCATGATAAAATTGTCCACTTGTAGCACCTTTCCTAAATAGGACTAATCTTACCTTTTTATCCCTAATTCTATTTAATTAATTAATTGATCTAAATAATTGCCCCCTAATTTCCTTGCACAACCAAGACAGTCCGTCGGTGGCGGAGCAGCCAGTGGTGGCGGCAGCACTCCGGCAGCAGCTGGCGGCGGCGGCCGGCGGCGGTGGCCGGCGGCAGGCGGCGGTCCGGCAGTCCCTAGGCAGCAGGTGTAAAGGTTATGAGGGGTATTTGGGTCCAATCACTAATAAAAAGTCCTATTTAAGGATGTTTAAACTATGTACTCCTATTTTGAGGAAAAAAAAGCCATGTTTTAGTTCTATTAAGGTAGAGTCCTTTTCTTGTTCAGCCGGCCTGACGGGAACCGCCGTCCGGCCGAGGGCATTTCGGGCACTTCCCGATGGAATTTTTTGATGAAACTTTTTGAGCATGTTCTTCATGAAGTCTAGTTTATCCATACCAAATTTCAGCTCAAAATTCGATCGGGAAGGCATTCAAATAATTTTGTGAAGTTAACTGGGCAGTTTATATGTATGAACTGCCCAGTTAACTTCAAGAAAATATTTGAGTGCCTTCCCGATTGAATTTTTAGCTGAAATTTGGTATGGATAAACTAGACTTCATGAAGAACATGCCCAAAAAATTTCATCAAAAAATTCCACCGGGAAGTGCCCGAAATGCCCTCGGCCGGACGGCGGTTCCCGTCAGGCCGGCTGGACATGAAAAGTCCTCATTAAGGTAAATCTCCTCATAATCATCATTTGGATGTACGTAGCGTTATCTCTGTACTAAAGCACAAAGTGGCTGTGTCGGGATGACCCTAGTGAAAGTCACGTCAAAATGAAATAATCCCAAAATTTAAGAATTCATATTTTTGTTTTGTTGCGATTTAAATAATATATTAGTAATTGGTATTTGTTGTTATTGTTTTTTAACACTAAAATAAACAGCTACAATGACAAGGTAGATCTGGTGACAAAGTTATATTCACAAGAAAAGGCAAAAGGTGGGAGTTCTATTACAAGTAGTGACCAAATTAAGAAAAGTGTGAGATTTGATGAAGGGTGCAATCAGGTGATACTGTTCTCACCTACTGAAGATGCAACTCGCCATACTAAACCGCCAATGCAGAAGAAGAAGAAGGCGGGCGGCTGCGCGTGTGGCACACCCACCCATAGCAGCTCACTGAAGTGCCGCCTCCACCGCAACAGATGGGCGTCGGCGCCACTGAAGATAACGAGCCGCCGCCCTGGGAGCGTTGATGATAGCCAGATATCACAGTTTACAAGATTTGGAAGGGCCATTCTGAAGTCTTTTCAATTTTAAAAATTTCTCTGCTGATTATACTTTGTAGTCCATAGCCAGTGTTAAGGTTATGGTTTCATAGATTAGGGTTGGCATGAACTATATTCTTCAAATATTTTATATAATGAGGGATTGTAATTTTCAAAATCATCATTATTTTAGCCGCCAATTATTTTAGTCCCAACAAATTTTTAGTGTAGTTAAAAGAGTAAAAGACTTGGATATCGAACTTTTTTTTTTTTTTGAATAAGATATCGAACTTTTTAGTGCACAATTTCTACTAAACACTCAAACTTACCCCAAACCAGTCTGACATTAAATATTGAATATAATATATATTGTGTTTTGAAAAATAGAAGAATTTATCTTGAATCTTTGTATGTAGATTGAAGAGCCTTCTTATAATGTTCTTGTACACAATTCAATTAGGATGTTTTCACTTGACTCTTTCCATCCCACAACAGATCACGCAAGAATTAAACACACCAGATTAGACATAAACAGACCAGACTTCAATATTTATAAAATACACAGAGACCATACATTTACTATATCAGTTCAAACCAGTCCGGAATAAACCAAACCAGCAAATTTCAGTCCAAATAAAAATATCCTTACACAAAGTGACGCTCATATGCATTTCTCAAGAACCTCAATTAATTTTGACAAATTGATATACCAAAATAAAATGACAATATTAATATACGGAGTATTATCTAGTGTCCATCAAATTTTAAGGGATTCTACACATCATATTTTATTTAATACAAAGCACAATCAATTAAAGTATTGGGAAAAGAGTCAAACAGGCCCTCGAACTTACATAAAAAGTTCAAATAAGCCTTATATAGGAGGCTCTTTTCGGCCATCGCCATTTGGGGCAGTTCCCGGTGAAAATTTTTGATGAAATTTTTTGAGCATCTTATTCATTAAATCTAGTTGACTCATACCAAATTTCAGCTAACAATTTTGTGGATCGTTGCGCTTACCGCTACACTAAAAGCAATCGCTGATAGTGTAGCACGCTCCTCCCCATTTATAGCACATGCGAAGCGTCACGCGGTTCGATTGCACCGGCAGGCTGGACAATTGCTGGCACCGCATACCCGCGGCCCAACAATCTCCCCCCAGCACTTGCCAGCCTCAACTGCGCAACATGCTGTTGCCGGGGGTCGAACCCGTGACCTTGGCTCTGATACCACTTGTGGATCGTTGCGCTTACCGCTACACTAAAAGCAATCGCTGATAGTGTAGCACGCTCCTCCCCATTTATAGCACATGCGAAGCGCCACGCGGTTCGATTGCACCGGCAGGCTGGACAATTGCTGGCACCGCATACCCGCGGCCCAACAAATTCAATCAGGAAGGCATTTAAATGAATTCTGGAAGATAACTGCGCTTTTAATTGCGCAGTTATCTTCAAGAATTCATTTGAATGCCTTCTAGATTGAAGTTTTAGCTAATCAGTTTTAGCTCAAAAACATTCATAAAAAAATTCCACCGGGAACCACCCTTAAATGACGACGGACGGACAGAGCCTCCTATATAAGGGTTTATTTGATCTTTTTATGTAAGTTCGAGGGCCTATCTGACCCTTTTCCCTTAAAATATTCGAAGTCCTTTGAATCGGCATCGTGCATCGATGCCATTTTAATGTCCAAAATATATAAGTTTTTTGTTGTTTTTGCTTAATTGGATCGAAATTTTCCGGTCTGGTCTGATCTTATATGGTCTAGTCTGGTAAATGTGTGGTCTAGCTTTATGTATTTTATAACTGTTCAAGTCTGATCTAATGTTATCTGGTCTGATCAGGTATGATCTAGAATTGAAAATAATTCGAGTAATAACATCCTTAGTTGTACACTTATACTCCGTATATAACAAGTAATGAGTTTTTTTTAAAGGAGTAATGAGTTTATTATTAATACATGCATTACCTAAGGATGTGTTTACCAATTACATATTACGTAGCACGGAGTATTAAAGAATTAAGGTAATGTAATCAACGGTTTTAATCGACCTTAATTGCTAAAGCTATATGTTACACTACCAAAAAAATATGGGATTGGCAGAGATTTTGCAAAATTCGTGTCAAAAACATTTTGGATCGAGCTATTTGGCACGAAAAGTCAGTAATTCGTGCCAAATTTCGTGCCAATCTCGTGTTATTTGTAGTGTTATTGGGGTGTTTGGTAAGCGATTTTCAACAAAAAATGGCGGTTTGAGCAAATTCAGCGTTTTTAATAAGTGAAAACGTTGTTTGATAAATAGATGTTCGACGTTAGCGTTTTTGGACTAAAACGCTGAAATGAAAACGCTGCTAATAGGAGAGTTTTGAGTTGGAGTTTTGAAAAATGGCGTTTTCTACCAATTTTATGGCCAAACAGCTAAATTATCAAACATCTTTTAAGAACCCACCAATTTATTCCGCTAGTCAAACCCGCTAACTAAATTCGCTATTGACAATCCGCTAACATAATCCGCTATCCGCTAACCGCTGAATGCCAAACACACACATTATTTAATGTGTTCAATGAACTGAAACATTGCACGAAGACAGGGTCTCTAAAATGTAGATTATGTTAGGATTGTTTTTTATAGGGGTGAACGATTCAGTTTACAGTTCGATTTTTATCGGTTTCAATTCGTTTTCTGTTTATTCGGTTTAGGAGATAGTCTACCAAATTAAATCCATTTGTGTTTCGGTTTGGTTTTGGTTTAGTTTAAGAGTGATTCGGTTCGATTTGGTTTCAAGTTCCGATTACCAAAATGAAATTGATTTGGTTCAATTTACTTCCGTTTGATTCGGTTTCATATGGTTACTGGTTTATTTGATCTATCCATCCAAATTAAAATTTTAGATTCCATATTTTTTATTTAAATAAATCATGTAAAATGTACGTTGCACTCTAGTTTAACTGAAATGAATATAGATGCAATGTCCTTGTCATAGTCAAATATCTTTTCGTGTAAAGTACGTACAAAGTATTACAAATAGGGAATATTCCTGGAATATTACTAAAACTAGTTAAGTTTCCCATAATATGAGTGTAGTTCTTTTTGGTCATACGTATGAGTTTAACTAAATAAACATTTTTAAAACCGGTTAAATCCACTGCATTGAATGACAAGAATACCCTCATAAATAAATGGGGTTCTTCGACGCGGTACTAGTGATAGTGGGCGGCAAGAAAGGAAAGAGGGCGATCAAAACTTCAGTCGAGGAAATTAGTGAGTAGCAGAGAGAATTTTACGGAGTTCATTTATGGAAGGAATTTCAAACAAAACCCTAACAAAGAACAATGATGGAAAGAAAGAAAACGAAAAGCTGCGGTTCGAAGGGAAGTTCAAAGACGGCATATGTGTGAAGAAAAATGGCTAAGGGGAAAAACGAAGGCCAATGCAAACACCACCGGCGCACACTACGAAGTAGTTACAATCGACGGCAATGTGAGTTCTTTTTTTATTTGAGATAACTTTCTTAATTTGGTTAATTTGAAGTCGTATATTGCTTCATAGAGCTCAAGTTGTTTATGTATTGAATTAGGAATATATTTGAGTATGAGGTGAATTGATTTTTAGGAGGGAGATTTGACTTGATTTTTTGGAGTGAAGTGATTGTTAGGACGGAGGTGATTTACTGAGCATTGATTTACAGGGCATTGATTTACTCATCCCAAGACTTTTCCTAGTACTGTCCGGACCTCTAGTACTGTCCTCACAATCCGCCACTAGCCTTTTCTGCGCACTTTGTTCTCACTCGTGCGCGCCCTGAGAAACTTTCCAAGGGTTCACCCATCCCAAGACTACTCCCGTGCAAGCACGTTTAACTTTGGAATTCTTAGCGGATAAGCTCCCTTAAAAGGAGATGCATCTTGTTTGTATGAGTAGTACTATTAATCCTCTTAAATTAATCTCAGGTATTACACACACACACGTACATACAGACACACACACACATACACACACACACATACACACATACACACACACATACACACATACACACACACACACACACACACACACACACATACATACATACATACATACATACATACATACATACATACATACATACATACATACATACATACATACATACATACATACATACATACATACATACATACATACATACATACATACATACATACATACATACATACATACATACATACATACATACATACATACATACATACATACATACATACATACATATGATGTTAATTATTTGCAAAAAGGCTTTGTTGGTCACACGAGAAAATTATTTGCCTACTCAAAATCTGAACACACAAAAGGGAATATACAAAAAAAAAAGAATCAGCGATCACATCTTATGAGAACTAGGTCTCAAACACGAGTGGAGCTTTGAAGATTTGATTGAAGAATTAACTGAGGGTCTATGTATGTATATATATATATATATATATATATATATATATATATATATATATATATATATATATATATATATATATATATATATATATATATAGGTAAGAGATCAAATGCAAACCATGCTTAAAATGCAAACTCGTGAAAACTCCGACAACCGGTGGTATTTTTGGCTCAAAGTTTTTGTGTATGTTCCTCATCAAGTCTAGTTCATATATACCAAATTTGAGCAAAAAATTCAATCGGGAAGGTCATCAAACGATTTTTGAAAGAAAACTGCATTTTATATGTATTTTCCGGACCAGTTTTCTTTCAAAAATCATTTGATGACCTTCCCGATTGAATTTTTTGCTCAAATTTGGTATAGATGAACTAGACTTGATGAGGAACATACACAAAAACTTTGAGCCAAAAATACCACCGGTTGTCGGAGTTTTCACGAGTTAGCATGGGAGAACTAGTTAGTATGAGATCTCACCCCTATATATATATATATATATATATATATATATATATATATAGATAAGAGATCACATACTAACCATGCTTAAAATACTAACTTACTAACTCAATAATATGCAACACATTGAACTTCAATATGCAGTACAAATAATGTAAAGATGCACACTGTGAATTTCAATATGCAATAAAAATAATATGCAAAACTTTGAACTTTAATATGCAGTACAAATAATATGCAACACTTTGAACTTCAATATGCAGTACAAATAATGTAAAGATGCACCGTTTTTGATAGTTTGTAGGTTAGCATGGGAGGAATGG